GAACTCTCGTATACTTTACGAATTCATATTATTTCATTGTTTTATTCTTTATTCAAGTTCGACCAGATTATAGAATAGGATCCTATGCGGTTAATATTCCACGATGGCTCAAGTCTCTAAGAACACCCAAATCGATTGGTATATATACGTACAAATACAACGATTTTATAAGAGAAAATAAATTAATAATAGAATTCGTTTCTTTTTTCTAGCTAAACATGTGATCGTCTTTGAACAAGATCTCGATCAACTGATCAAAGAATTAAAACAATTTACTTTTCTCGATATTTATGGCAAAATTGATTACGAACAAATTGATCCCTATCGTTTAATGGTCCAAACTCACTTTCCTCTTAGTCGGAGTCATATTGAAATATCAAGATTTCGTCTCTGGCTTTAATTTTCATTTTTTTTTACTGCAACAAATCTCTATTAAAGACAATTATTATCATAAATTACTTGTTTTCTTTTTCTTCTTGTTTATCTTTAATATAATAAACTGTAAAATACTTTTATCCAATAATAAAATGTTAACATTGCACTTCGATCAATAGTTTATAATCTATTGAAAAATTCATTATTAACGACATGAAAATCAACGTAAGATCAATTTATTTTCTATGTGTTTAGTAGTTTTCTCTTTTTTTTTATCTAATGTTCAGTACCACCATCTAGGTAGAGAGGAAAAGAAAACAAATGACATTTTTATATGTAAAAATTATACATTATGACGTATTACTAATATACAGTAGACATCAAAAGTTTTGCATTACTTTTTAGCTTTAAGTCGTATATTAAAGTTACACAACATCAATTTAATTTGACGATAAGTCTGTATAGCAGAGATCATGTAATATATGTACACCTGTTTTTAATATAAGAAACTCTTGAATATAAATATACAATGAGAAAATAAAAAACTTTCGTATAAGAGCCATTTCACTTAAGCCACGACCTATGCTGCTCAATCGATTTTTTCAAATTTCGATTTTACATACATATTTCAAAAGTGTACCAACTAGTGAGTTTTTTGTCACTAAGCGCACTCCGATAGCTCAAATTGTCATTGAGAAATTCAACTTTTAATTTTAGGCCATTTTCCTTTAAATAACGATGTTGATCTACCCCGTGTCTACTAAGAAGTGTGCCATTTTTGATTGAGGTGACATAGAATAATAAAAATTTCAGGATAGATACAAATTAAGTAGCCCTACAAAATAAAACAACTCCGAGCTCTAGATGTTGCTTTACGACTGAGTCATAGATGTCGCTAGTAGCTGAATTTCCGCAATCGATATCTATTGCGTAACTAAACCGGTAAATCTGAAACTTGTAAACTAGATACTAGGTCGATGGAGCTATATAATTATGAAAAGAAAACTTTGGGTAGTGAAACAAAATCCAAGATATGAATTTTCTACGAAAATTCAGTGCATTTTCCAGTAGTTTTTACACATTTTTGCCCTATTTTTGAGACAAAAACTAAAAATGGACATCATATTCGGAATCAGCATCAAAAACTGAGTCCGATCATGTATATTTCATGGAAAAAAAATTTTACCAAAAAGTTACCCCTACTCCCCCTCAGGTGCCTTTTATAAAATTTTCGCCTGTGGCCCCCCCCCCTCAGGTGAGTTTTTCGACAGAAATTTTTTTCCATGAAATATACATGATCAGACTCAGTTTTTGATGCTGATTCCGAATATGATGTCCATTTTTAGTTTTTGTCTCAAAAATAGGGCAAAAATGTGTAAAAACTACTGGAAAATGCACTGAATTTTCGTAGAAAATTCATATCTTGGATTTTGTTTCACTACCCAAAGTTTTCTTTTCATAATTATATAGCTCCATCGACCTAGTATCTAGTTTACAAGTTTCAGATTTACCGGTTTAGTTACGCAATAGATATCGATTGCGGAAATTCAGCTACTAGCGACATCTATGACTCAGTCGTAAAGCAACATCTAGAGCTCGGAGTTGTTTTATTTTGTAGGGCTACTTAATTTGTATCTATCCTGAAATTTTTATTATTCTATGTCACCTCAATCAAAAATGGCACACTTCTTAGTAGACACGGGGTAGATCAACATCGTTATTTAAAGGAAAATGGCCTAAAATTAAAAGTTGAATTTCTCAATGACAATTTGAGCTATCGGAGTGCGCTTAGTGACAAAAAACTCACTAGTTGGTACACTTTTGAAATATGTATGTAAAATCGAAATTTGAAAAAATCGATTGAGCAGCCCCTATAGTAAAAAGGTCGTGGCTTAAGTGAAATGGCTCATAAACAAAAAAAAATATGAAGAAAGACGATATGATATTGCTGTTATAAGTTTAAGATGAATGACAGGAATTAATTTCAAAAATGACTTGAATATTTGTATTCGACCAAATATGAGAAGGAATGAATACTTTATTTAATGATGATCAAGAAAAAAAAACTATCCTATTGAATAACTAAAACAACTTCTTCGAAAAGTAATGATTCAAGCATATTCAGATAATAATGAATTATTTGCTACAACATCGTCACATTGTATAAATGATGCTTGCATATTTTAATCGAGACTTCTTTGAGATCTACAAAACAGAGATGGGATCGGTTGGCATTTTTTTCTTAACCGAACCGAACGTAACCGACTGAATTTTCAAAAATTTAAAAACCAAACCAAGTTGAGACATAGCGAAGTTTTTGTTATAGTATTCAAGGTATTAGTGTTTTATGAAATAAAATTTTCTTATTTACAAGTCTTTATTATTTATTTTATTTAATAAAATGTATTGTTTTTGGGATACTTTGAACGAATGAATAAAACGTTAAATTATTTTACTCGACTTTGTTTGTATGATCAAGTTCTTGATAATATACCTTGTGCAATGACTACAGCCGATATCGTTGATAGTTTGAAGATAATTTTCAACGCTTTTTTGTACACTGTAAAAAAATAGACGTGGAAAAATAAACCCTCATTTTCGTTTATACACGTTGTGAGATACCCTTTTAGGATTTATTCGCCTCATAAACCCTTTCATATACCCGTTCAGTTCATAAACCATACGAAAGGTATTTTATACGTTGCACTTTCATAACGCTTTCAGGGTATATGACCAGTAAAATATCCTTTAAGCGTTTATTAACTTCATAAGCCCTTTCGACAAACAGTTTTGAGTCTACGGTGTGCTCTAAAGGGTACATGTATAAACGCTTTTCAAAAAGTTTTATGAAGTTAGTAAAACCTCAAATGGTATGTTAATGCTCATATATCCTGAAGAGTTTACGAAAGAGAAACTTACAAAATGCCCTTCGCAGGGTTTATGAACTGAGAGGGTATATGAAAGGGTTTATAAGGCGAATAAACCCTAAAACGATATATAATAATGTGGAGAAACAAAAATGAGGGTTTATTATTCTACTCTTATTTTTTAAATTGTAAAGATATGAGTGACAATACTGAAATCTCTTATAAAAGTCGGACTCGAAGTTGTTACAACAAAAATCGGAGTAGCTATATTCAAAGTAATAAGGTAAGAAAAATGCATCTGTTTCCATGAAAGTAAAGGATTATATTCTGCTTCAAGAGATTCAGTTGAATTTGCTGATTAATCTTAACCCTGCTTCGTATACAAATGTATTTGTAATGCATGCGACAAAAACGTAAAGCACCATGCTGATCGCTGTTATCTTCCTCGCCATCTTTACATTTGAATACAAGTCATTCATAGATTTAATTCGAGGATTGATTAACAACTGAGAATCTCTTTGAGGTGTCGTTGATTTAAACGATCATCATCACTAAATATCAACATTTCTTTTTTCTATATATTCTATGCATCCTTCTCGTTTTTCAACAGGTAAATACTTCATCTTTCGCCTTTTCGAATTTAAAAATGTTGCCATCAGATAAATTGAATGATGCTGAATCTTTACTTTTATAATTTGTTTTACCCTTTGACGAAAATATGCACACCCTGAATTCAGAAAAGTTAAACGCAACGAATATGAAAGAACATTTAGAATTACTAGACTTTATCTAGTTTAGAAAATTATAAAATAATATCAATTCGTTCCAACCAAACCGAACCGGAAAAATCTCTAACTGAACGTAACCGACCGAATTTTCGAAAAATTCGTAACCGAATTGATTTCGGTTTCGGTTCAGTTAAAAACCGAACCGGTCCCATCTCTGGTACAAAACAAATGAGTTATCCAAATTTTCAGATCTATCATAAGAAAACAAAAATATTATTTCGCTTCGCACGACTCGTTTTTTTTAGCATTATGTGTAATCTATGCTTCTGATGTCCTTTAATTCGATGTTTATCATTAGTGAACATGTATATTCAGATATGTTATTGGTTTCAGAAACACAAAATACTTTCGATTGTTTATTTAAAGAAAATAGAATTCTTCATCCATGTATTCTAGTTGATGTTGATATGTAAATTCATGGTTTTGTTTTTCATTTAAAGTAATAAAAAAAAATCCAGGAATTGATGAAATAATTAAGAGAGAACTCATAAAAATGAAACAGGACTTTGACTGATTTGAAGAGAATTTGACTATGATTGAAAGAATTTGTTGCTGTTAGTTATCTTGAATGTAATATGATGATTAGAAAATAAGATTATTATCTCTAATCTTAAATCTGATTTAATTTAACATTCAATTCATTTTTGAGATGTTTACCAAATTTTTAAATTTGCAACGTTTGCAATATTAATACAACAATCGAAAATCAACAGTTAATTATTCATTAATTAGAAATGAATCAAAACTATAATAACTATATTTTTAATTGTATCTAATAAATGAATAAATCATTCTCTTTTTTTTCGATACTTAAATATTTTGAATAAAAACCATTATCTTATATAATTGTTATTTCTGTGATTTATCGTATCTATTTCTTTTTCTAAATCAATCTATAAAAAAACCAAAAAGAAAAACGAATAACATTTTATATAAATACACAATATATGTATTGATGAATCAAAGTCAATTACGTTGTTTTAAGTTTAATAACTTGTTCTCCATTAATAATTTTTTCTTCAATATTTAAATGTTTTAAAATGATTGCTATTTTTTGAGCAATATCATCTTTTATTTCTTTTTCTTTTGTTTGTAAATCTTCTGTCGTTGGTAAAAAGTTTTGAATTAATTCTGTAAGTGTCATTTGTTGTTTTTCTAAAAGTAAATTACGAATTTTATCTTCAGTAATTGTTTCACTAAAATATATGAAAAAAGGATGATTTTAAATAGACACAAATCAAAGAAAAAAAACCTTAGATTAAATGATGCATTGGAAAAAGACATAACATTGGATTTAATCGCTCGTGTTTCATCTTCTTTCCTTATTTTTTGATTATCTTTTTCTAGAATGAAAATAATTAAAATAAATTTTACTATTTATTTAATTAATGAGAAAAAATATAAAGTTCGAAAGATATTTCTGTTGTCCGATCATCTTTTTACTTATATGTTGAAAATTTATATAAAAATTTTTGTGATAAAATTCAATATACGATATTTTCTGTAGGAATAATTACTGAATAAAATAAAAAAGATAAATATTCTTTTTATATTCTATTTATTGAGAAATGAAATTTTTATTTTTAAGATAGAAAAATATAAATAAAATTAATATTTATGTTTAATATTTATAAATATGTCCAAAAATTTGAAAGAATAATTTCAAATGTTTTGTAATAAATGTGATTATAAGATAAATAATTTCACAAAAAAAATCAAAAAGAAAAAAATCAACCATATGCATTACCAGTTTTAATTTGTTCAGATAGAATTGGCTGAATATTCGTAGAAATCTAGATTAAAAAGAAAATATTATCTCAAAAATCGAGAATAAAAAAATGATTTTATTTACAACAATTGATTCAATTTGTTCGTTATCATGTTCATCTCGATCAACACGATTATTATCATCTGAATCTGAATCTGAATCTGAGTTTGATTTCATTTCTAGAATTATATTTTTATTCAAAAATTTTCATTTTAATTCTAAGAATATCTTTAATAAATACCTTTAGTAATTTCATCGTTTTCATCAAATCTATCTACATCAGACAAACCATCAG